ACTGGTTTCCAGCTGATTATAGTTTTTTAATTTTGGGTCTTGATTTTGTTCCGCTGAAGGGGTATTTTTTAAATATCATCTAAAAAGTGCTAAGAAAAGTCTTCTGCTATCTGCTATTCGCTATATGTCACATCAAAAATGAAGGAGAAGCTAAAAATGAACATATTCCCTATAACTCAACATCTTGACGTTGATATATAAACTTGCAAAAATCAATTATGATGTGAAAAAAAAGTTTGACATAGCTTTCAAATCAATCAATCACGGCAGTGAGGTTTTGAGTTGCAGTATTTTCTCTGGATAAGAGAGAATTTCCAAAGTTGTTATCGACAGTTTGTACTGAAGAAATGAATTTTTAAGTATTGAAAATTAGGCGGTACTTCTTTGAATATTTATATTAAACGGACAGATCAAATTATTGGAATAAAAAAAAACAATTTTTTTTATTCAACGTAGACAATCAACACTTGATGCATCGCGTACATAATTTTATATTTATAATCTCGGCAATCTGTCACCAACACAGATATAGCTTGTCAAAACTAGGAGGAGACTTGATAATTTTATCTCTCTCTCACACACACACAGTCTCCTAACGCATCTTAGGGAAGGTCCTAAAAAGATACTTTGAGATCGCTTCCTAGATTTGACAAGCTGTACATGCAAATTAATGGACGCACAAAAATGTTATTCCACTCACCTGTTCAGTAATAGTTTCATAGACCGAGAGGTGATGGTGTACCCCGGGCAACTTTTAGAAACGTCGTTGCAACTCCAAGATGACTCTTGATCCAGAGGATTATCACAGAGAACTAGACCAGTCTTACATTTTGGACAAATGAGCGCTCCGCTGTAGCTTCCCATTTCTGTCGGGTCGGAACATCTTTCGCAGAAGCACTCGAAGAATTTGTTATCAAAAAGGTGTTCACGCCTTTTTAGAGTATTCTGAAAAATTGATCCGTTGAGTACTAATAGAAAGTGACGAACCCTGTTTGGACTCTATCCTGACCAAATGTGTAGCAAGTCCACCAGAGTGGTATCAGTTGTTCAAGGCATCTCACTATTTTGTCGGGTACCACAAGACAACTTAAAAATGCAAGATGAGTTCATGCGATGTTGTATCAAATGCCTTGCGGTAATCAATCCAGGCCATAGAGATGTTACGCTTATACTGTATCGAGTCCTGCGTTACACATGTATCAATAAGCAGGTTCTCTTTATATCCAGCGACTCCTCTCTTCGGCCCTCTCTGCTCATATATCCGTTCGAACACTGGGTCAACTGCGTTTAGTAATCGTGTGTGTAAGATGCTTGTGAACAACTCATTACACGAATGTAAGTAATCCAGAGTCGGCTGCCCTTCGTCTAGCCATGAATTGAAAACTCTGGCCAGATGGCGGTGGGTGCTTGTTAGTTTTTTCCACCAATAGGTGTTCAGCTCATCTGTGCCTGGAACAGCAAAGTTATTGGAACCCACAAGGGCTCTTCGAACGTCATCCGGGGTTACCGGGTTGCGCTGTTCATCGAGCTCAGGCTGTCGAAGCTCTCTGCTAAAAGCTTCGACCTGCGCTAGGGCTGGAGTGTCTATGTTGAGTAGTTGCGGTTATTCATAGATGTTTTTCCAGAATGATTCCACCTGATCAGTGGTCGGCGGATTATCCACAACATGTAGAGGCTCTTGGAAAAAGCGAGAAGGTTTATCGCGAAACCTGAGGTTCTTCGTGATACTTTGCACTCGCCTCACTAGTGACTTCTTGGCAGTTACTAGCATTCGTATCCTATCAAGGCAGTGCTTGTGGTCAGCAATACGCCTTGACTCAAAGTATGATGTATACGTCGTAGTTTGGCGGTTATTCACCGCACTGCGGGCGTGAAAGGCCTAAGGAGCATATATGGAGCATATGTAAATCAAAATTGTTTAGCAAACAAAATATAGCAACAGCTTTAGAAATATAGCAACATTTTTATTTATTTAAGTTTAGCACTTAACCAAAGATATTACCAAATATTAGAGTTATGTTTTATTTATTACAGTTTGTAACTCAAGCAAAGAATTTTGTTTTTATGTTTTTGTTTTTATGTTTTTGTTTTTATTTTTATTTTGTTATTTGTTTTTTTTAGTTTTTGTTTGTCTTGGTTAAGAACGAATGTTCTGTTTACTTTAAGTTTCTTTTTTTATTTTTTCCGTCCTATCCAAAATTACAAAATACACCTTTCAATTCACTTTTCGAAATACGGGACCCTCGCAGACTATATTGAACTTGAATGACCGCCGATTAAAAGTAGTTTGCGGGTGCCTTGTGAATTCACTTAAACCAACCAGATTCAACCTTCCTTCCTACCCCATCTTTCCTTTTCTTTCCTGGCAAGACACGGCTCTCACCTCCCCGCTGGTTCTCGCTGGACAATAAAATTTACTTTTAGACCTGTTTTTATAAGCATAATTAAGTACATAATTGAGTATTTGCATGTATGCAAATATTACGTATTTTGCTTTAAATAGGTGCGGTTACCCAAAAAATTTTCGCGCCTCCGCTCCGGCGGACTTTAGCCACCCCTGTTCTCCAATGCACGAGCCGTCACTGATTGATTATGAAATACATGATCGTAGAAATTGACTCTCGACAAATCAAAGAGAATAAATATATAAAGAGAAGCCGGCAGTTTACGAAATTCGTGTGAATTTCAAGAAATAACAAATACACATTTTTCTATTGAAAATGTTTCATCTGTTAACTGAGGAAACAGACTAATTCAGTAACATCAAAGCGTTCTTACTTGCAGTGTATATGCATAACTCATCGTAATTGGATATCCTGGCGAAATGTGCGTGGAAGCACGAACAGTGAGCCTATAGTTGATATTTTTATCTGTGTGGTTGGTATTTGGTACACAGTCGTGTGCCATGAGGAATGCTGTAGGATACAGTCCTCTTATGTTGACCCCTTGCTGTCCTATTTCAAAACAGTTCACCTGGAACAGATAAAAGTATCATTTGAGATATTTATAACTGCCAAAAAATGTTTTCATTGAATGAGTTTTGAAAGAGAAACTTATCGAAATGAATTTTATCCCACGCCAACTTGATCATTTTGAAAATATTGGAACTCATTCAAATCATTTATTTATGCAATTTATTTTTGAATCTAGTTGACTTACACTTGGTAAAGATCCAGGAAAATTTTCGCCCTTGAAGAAAGTAATGCTTTGAAATGCATGCAGCTTATATAACATGAATAACTCATCACCTTCATATTTTTCTGAATTTTTTAGTTTAAATTCAGAAGTGCACAAATATGCCACAAGACATCATACTAATTGCATTTATGCAGAACAAATAGGAGACGTGCCATGTCGATCATTGAGTATTTTTAAAAGACAGTTATTGCAATCCATCCACATTGATAGATAGAATAATACTTGGTAAGATAATATTAATAAATATAGTATTTGTATGTTGTTTTCTGCTTTTTATCATTGTATTGGAGCTGCACCAATATTGCAATGTATTTTT